CGGCTACAGAAGACATAACTAGTCTAATCGTAGAATAAATTTAGTATTAAGGCAGAAATCTGCCCTACACACTGAAGTAACACGCTTGAATACTAGGTTATTGCGATCAGAAGTAGAAATCAGGCGATAGCATTTTCACTATGTTCATCTTACTTATGATAAGTCGATAATATCCATTACTTCCCAACATACCACGTAGTAGATTTTAGTTAGGCTTTAAAGCTTATTATTTGTTCACTACATTTTGCTTATCTCCGGAAACATTCCTGAAATGGGTTACAGCATCATTATTCAATCAAAAAAATGAATCAATTACAGAATGAAGGTCATACTGACTGGTTGAAAGTAGTTTTCATTGAAATGGTGGAGAATATTTGTAGCTTCAGTAGGTGTTTTTGGTTGTGATGCGTCCTGTCAGCTGGATGGTTTAATTGTGTCTTTCCAGACAACATCATCAGCTTCAACTTCAAAATGAAGTGAGCTATCAATGTTTCTTCGTCAGTAATTCAGTAGCTTGCCCTGATGAAGTCGTTTCTGACTGGTTATTTCATTTGATTTTTGTGACATTGACTGGATAGATTTTCCTGTTGCCTGTTTCGCTGACTGTCGTTTGACCTTGCAGTTGTTTATCACTCTTCTTATTGGTTGGTAAATTGGGTCAGTCAGAGAAACGGCAAACAGGAGAACCTATAAACTTAATGAAACAGGTATCAGAGGAAACCACTAATTACAAGCTATTATGTCAGGGAAAGCTACTCAGCAACTCACGGCGAAGTAGTGATAGCTCACAATTCATATTGAAATTAGTGCTGCTGATGATATTATGTAGAAAGACAATGAAAACTTCACCGTTAAACCACCCAGCTGGAAGGACGCAACACTACCAACTGGCTTTCATCAATTATTTCCTCGTAAACCATTCTATTCAGTAATAATTAAGTGTTATTTAGTTGCTGGCCTTAGGACAGGTTTCTCAGAATCTCATCAAGATGCATAACCTGAAAGACCAACCTAGTGAATCAATAGCGAGAATGAAAACCCTTCAGATTAAATTACAAAGTGATCAAATGTATATCTTAAAGTGAACTAAATAGAACAGAATGGAATATTTGTGTGCCGTACATGATTTATGAGCACTCACAGTTTTCATTAGAAGACTTTAAGATATTTTTATATCACTTAGTGAGTTATAAACTTAATGAGTCTTGGAGTTTGGATTTCATTCCCAATTCATAAACACTACTTGAACAATAGATCCATGCTAACATTCAACTATCACAATATTTAAAAATTACTTGCATGAACAAAGACTACTCTTTTCGATAACTTATTCTTCATCAATGTCCTGCAGCTATATGTGCATACTGAGTAATTTTGGTGTCAAAAGCATTGAGATGTCGCTTAACAGTTTGTCAATGATATTCTGGAGCTGATAAAATCCCTTTAGAAAAGTCTTGTATGAAGATTAATGTCAGATTCAATTATCACTGGAATTCATTTCAAAATAAGTGTTTATCTAAACGATTGTATGGCGTAGGTAATATTATAAGCTGATAGTTTATTATTAAACCAATAAGAAGGTATCTAAGAGAATTGGATTAAAATTATTAAGATAATCTGAGGAATAGTAGCTTGATCGAATACTACTCATTTCGCACGGATAAAATAAATCAAGAGGATTTGTTTAAATTATTTCAGGTTATTAGCCGACTGGATCATGCAAAAAACCGTGAGGAGTGAGAAGATGAGAATACACACGCTGTTTCACTGATAAAAAGAGCATAGAAGAGTTGGATTTCGCCAACAATGATGATATTTTATGCTGCACAAACTCGAAGATCTACAGGCGAAGACTAACAAGATGACAGAAGAAACAGGACAGCGAAAACGGGACTTCAAGTGAATGTAAAGAAGACAGAGGTGATGAAGATACCCAACTAACAACAGCATGAACAACAACAAGAGGCACGAATCACCATGAACGGGAGAAACCTAAATGAAGTAGTGTCTCTCACCTACCTAAACAAGGCAGCATCGTTTCAATGTCAGGCGGCGGCACAGATGACGATGTCAAAGACAGGATCGGAAAGACAAGAACACAGGCTTGTTTTCACTAATCTGAAATCAGTGTGGAGATCTACTCCACTCAGTGTAAAGCGTGAACAAGATCCGGATTTTCAACAGCAATGTCAAGTCAGTGCTTGTGTGTGATGGTTGAGAGACTTGGAGGCGCGTGACGAAAAGCAATTCCTACAAACTACACACATTCATCATCAGCTGCCTACACTCACTCACTCACTCGATACTGAAGATCAGATGGATGGAGGAAATAATAAGGATAAGCAAGAAGGAACTGTGGCTGGCCGGCAACGAACCAACCCACAACCTATCACCCAACAAATATGCAGAAGAATACAGTGGAGGTGGATTGGGCATACACTGAGAAAGTGGAGTTGGGACATCACACGTGAGGCCAGGCCGTTGAGTTGACTTTGAAGGGGAGACGACGATTTGGGTTTCGGAGGCGAGGGTGACATTGAGGAGATTATGTGAGGAAGAAATGAAGGGTTATGGGTAGTCATGGAGTGAGGTTGTGACGACTGCAGAGAAGAGGGTGCAATGGCGATGTGCTACTGAATCCATGTTTTTCACTAGGAACTGAAAGGAGCAAATAATAATGATAATAATAGGGATGAAGTATATCTGCAGTATGGAATTAGGAACTTAGATTGCCTGGAATAGGATGCTAAGTCATTTATGCTTCCGGAATCGCTATAAGGTAGTTGTAGCGGCAGCACTTGCTCTTTCTGAACATATAACCCAGGTTGTGTAGTCTTGATTACCACTGTTTCTTCAGTCTAAAGGATTAGCAGTAGGGTGCCTTTTGTTAAGTTGATGGTAACCCTTTACAGAATGAAAAGTGACTTATTTATAACCGCCCTCTGGTTTCTTTTGAGCCTAGCATGCTACTGTAGAACCGGTACCGTTCTTTACCACATTTTTGTTAAAGCTTTGTATTCCCTGACATTTTCTCGTATAGTTTCGTCAAATAATTCATTACTATTGACTAGTTTCAATTTGAACTCTATATATATATATCAGCAACCGTTCCATTAAGTCATGAAAAATTCTGCGAAGAAAATTTCCTTCTCTATGAATCATTTTCAGCAGCTGCTAATCGCACTTATAGGTCAATACAAGGTCATCAAAAGTTGTTAAGGGAATCACAGGTTGTTTATAGCTAGAAGGTCAACTGAAAGTAATCGAAAATTGTTCGTTGGATTACACTAAATAAACAAATAATAATATGCAATAGAAAACCATTGAAAACCTGGGAGCACTGGACAGTTGTTTCATCCCTAAAAGCCTCAAACTACGTAATTGTATAGTACTCATTAGTGACATTCTTGGAAATGGATATCTTGAAGTTCTAATGAGAACCTGTGACCTGTGAGGTCAACCAGTCAGAAATGAAGTGAATGTCAACTGAAGACCTTGGTGGATAGTCACACTACGTATATAGTGAACTGACAGAAGTAGGAAATTGTCAACTATTGAAATCAACCCAGTAACTGAATGGTTATCGCGTTTGCCGCGATCGAAACCTGAAGCTCCCAAGTTGAATCTCTGAGGAGGTCGTAGGTGAGTATTGCTGAAAAGCCCCATACTACGACGAAACAGATGTACATTACCCCCACCCCCTGCAGGTTCTCAATAGTTCTCCAACTGATGTCAGTCTATGATGAGTATTACTACAATGAATAAATAAAGTAAAAAACGATTGTACAGCCCATGAAAATGATTCGTTGAGAAGAAAATTTTCTTCGCTGAATTGTCTTTTGCTAATAACAGCAAACATTGAAACAAACTACATCAAATGTTCAATGGCAGTGAAGTAGAAGAAGGAGGTCCCACTTGGGAACCAACACTTTATAGTACGATAACTTAGTCAAGAGTTTATTGACCACTTAAGTAAAAATTGTTGGCTCGGAGTTACGCTTCTTGTACTGTTTTCCACATATTACACATATCTCAGTCGAGATTTTATATTCCGCGTGTTATTGCATAAAATGTATTACTAAGCGTTTCAGTCACAAAACAGTGTATATTCGTGTACTTCGTCTAGGCACAGACAGATAACAGTTTTACTGGTCACATGCAAGTAGTTACAAAAACGTTGTCGTTTTCCATTCCTGTTGTTTTTCTTCCACACCTTAACTAAGATAATCTTTAGGCTTATTTCAACAAGTTTTTCGCATCGAAGATCGATTGTAAGCAAGGTACATCTAAATGAGTCTAAGATATTTCACAAAACCTAGAAGCTTAGCACTAACCATTCACATTATTAAGTAAGAGAAGTATTCAGCGAAGACCAGGTTGTCACGTCATTCATGAACAATCGTTGACTACTCACTACTTTCTGAAGTTTATTTTGACGATGCATTGTCGAATGCCAACGAAATCGTTAAAAAAATAAACCAAGATATTTAACAGAAGACAACGAAAGTAACAAATTTAGGAAAGAAAATGAATGCCACCCATTTTGCATATGTACATGATAAGCTAGCTGGCTTGTTGTTTGAAAGTACTTCATAAATTGAAGGTCCATTGAACAATTATTTCATTCGATTTCAAGGCCACTCAACAATTTATGAGATTTGAAGTCAGACTGTAAACAGCTTGGGCAACGTTAAAGGCTATCTTTAACAACTGCCAAAATAACCAATCAATTTACTGCATATTGTCTAGGATGATAATTTTTCATAGAATAGAGAAATATGCTTACCTGTTTCATCAGTTGCTAAGGTTGGCCTTTAAAGTCACTCAACAGTTTTCACAAAATCTGAGTCTATGAAACTGTATTCAATTATGAGTCATTAATGTATCAACAACTTATCATTATCATGGTGATTAAGATTAATTCAGTATCGATCGTGTCAAATAAATCGGATTAATAAAAAATAATCAATAAAAATGCATAAACAAGTAAAAAGACTAACCTTTAAATCTTTTTTACTAGCACGTTCATTTTGTGCATGTAAAATGATTTCTACTGCAGCAACATTATCTTCATTGATAGCATGAAGAATACAATCTTTTAAATCAAGTTTTGGTATAGCAACAAGAAATTGTAATAACTCCATATGTTCATTTTCAATAGCAATTCTTAATACATCACGTCCTAGTGTATCTGTACAATTTAAGTTTAATTTTAATTCGATTGCTTCATCTGTTAATTGTTTCACTGTTGCAAGATCACCTTGTTCAGCAGCATAAAGAAAGATACGTTCAATTTCAGATAATTCACCTTCAGCTATTGGTAATTCTAAACCGCCTAAATCAACAAATGTTTCTCTTTTTAGTCCCCCTCCAGTAAATGTATGCTTATTATTAGCATCAGTTACTGTAGTAGTAGTAGTAGAAGCATTCGTAGTACCAGTAATAATTTCATCAGAATGATCCATAACATGATTTTCAACTTCATCTAATAAATCATGTACTTCTTGGCGTAATTCATTTTCACCAATACTTCTAACAATACTATTCAAATTAATCACTGATGTATGTGGACTTTTATGCAAAGATCTTGGTCGTTTTGAACTTTTACGTTTTTCAGTGAATGGCATATTTATAAACTGTGTTAAATTATCTGTACTGTATGAACGTCTTGGTTGATGATATGGAAGATGTGTAACAGGTAGTTGTGTTCTCTTTCTATTTGGCAAAAATGAAGATAAAGTATCAGAAGGAATTGGATGAGTGATTTGAAGTTCACTTTGTTGTTGATAAATTTCTTCTCGTTTCTCTAAAGCAATACGAATAATATCAGCAAAACTTTGATTTCTAGTGTATTTAAAGAGTTTGAAATTAGTGCTGACAGTAGTATTGGTATTTATATCAGTAGTATCTGGTAGGCTAGAAATATTTTTTGGCGAAAAACTCATCTTATTCAAATAATAAAGCGAATACTAGTAGTCATACTTTATAAGCGTATGCGTACATAGTCTAGAATGTTGGAGAACATTCATTGATAATGTAATTTAGACATTGTATTGTATTGGACTAGATGATGCGTGTAACTTACACACAACCAAATCTCTAATATGGAAATGTGTTCGTTGCATTTACCTTTTAGCCTATAACATGTCAAATATAACCTTGTCGAAAGATGACTGGAAAAGTTATCCTATGGTCAAAATGAATAATTATACAACAATAACAATATTCATGTAATTGCTGACAGTATCATCTTGTTTCTTACTGGCTTGTTCTGATAAATTTTTGTTTGTATAATTATTGTTCTTGCATACGACTTTTCAATACAGAGATAAGAATTCAAAATAATCGAGTTAATGTACTGTAGTCTACTTTCTTGGTAGCAGAGGAATTGAGGACGCGTGTTTCCTTACATTTGGGACTCGTCAGCTGGATTCACCCGCCTCCTAGTGAGTGATATGGTGCCCACTGAGGGTCGAACTCGGAGCCTAACATTTCAAACGCCAAAGCCGTATCCCCTTAACCACTGCGACATGATACTCACCTCTTGTGCAGAAGGTATCAACCGTTGTTCACTGATATTTGTAATTTCCCGCTGTTGCCAGAAAAGCTAGAGCAGTTTGACCGAGTATGACAACTAGAGGTTACCACAATAAATGAACAACAAGATGATACCCGTTGTGCAAAAGGTGACCCTCCTCGCTAGTGGTATAGAGGATAACTCTTTAGTTTTGAAAGTGATGGGTACTGGGCCCGAGTCTTAGTGGCAACAACATCACTCATGGAGGGTCAGATACATCTAGCTGATGATTCCCAACTAGGTAGAAACGCGTGTCTTGCATTCCATCACTATTCCTATCATCAAAGATAAGATAAGGTAGAAATCTGTTTAACTGACTTCAGTACTGGGCTTTCAGCCAGTCAGTACGAGGCACCACAATCCCACTACATCTACTTCACACACTGGAATCGGACAGTAGCATCAACTTTTGCAGTTTTAAAATGCTTATTGAGTAGTACATAAGAACAGAAGACGTCCTGTTGAACCGTGTATCTCATTATATCTGGTGACATTCTAATATATAAGTATTTTCAAATTAATAAAAAACAACACTGTGGAATAATTTAATTCATTAAGAAAGACAGTGAGGGAGAAATGAGGACATGAAACTAAGACAATCACCCTTTACGGAGTTAAGTTTCATGCGTCGAAGAAGATCAATTTGCAAATGATTTACAAATTGCACAGTCCACATTTACATTTCTAGCACCAGAGTACTTAAGACCAACAAAATTTCCGCTGGAAACTATTAAGTCGTAATTGTGAGGTGTTATCTCTGGCAAAAAATTTCATGAACTAGTGAAAGATACAACTCCTAAACAACTTGAATAGTGAGAAACTACTCAGGCTGATGTGTAGTATAATTTGTAAATCATTCACAAATTGCTCATCCTACTTTAGGTATGGCGGTTCATGCAAATCAGATAGCTAGATAAATTCAGGTGATCTGAACAAATTTGGCTGTGTGAGTTCAATTTTTCTCGTTACACCATTGATGAACTCCGCACCAAACGATCGAAATGGTCGTCCAGTGCATAGATTACTCTGATCTGGAAAGGCGCAACACTGCAGATCAGCCTGAATGGTTTCTAATTACTCAAAATGTTCCTTTGTATTATCTGTTGAAGAGGAACCTAGCCTGCACAACTAGTTCACCAGTTACTATGATCCTAGCTGGCTAGGCTGTCCAGACTGAGGAGGAATGTGATGGAAGTGGTAGACTGAGAATCTGTGAGGAATCTGCAGATGGAATGGAAGTCGACTGTACAAAGTGTCAACAACTGGAGAGGAGTGAATAATCTACTCCGATATTGTCACCGACACGACAACCAGGAAGACAGCACACTGACATTTCGAGTGGATATCATGATGTCCCACTCCCAACAGTATCTATCGAATGCACTCTCTGATACAGTGGGAACCAATCTCCTCCTCCTCCTCCTCTTCCTGCTGCTTCTGCTGCTGCACGATCAGCATCATGACAGCAAGATGGATTGAACTCAAAATGCATCAAAGTCACAATCATTCAATGCTACACTACACTACACTACACTACACAACACCACACCACCCCACCCCACACCACACCACACCACACCACACCACACCACACCACACCACACCACACCACACCACACCACACCACACCACACCACACCACACCACACCACACCACACTACACACCTACAAATAATGCAGATGAAGAGGAGAAGGAGGAATTGTACTGACAACTGGAATCAACACTCCACAACACACTCAACACTCAATACTCAACACACCCCAGTTGGCGACATCAAAATCCATTCAGATCGATGAGGTGACAAGTCTGAATGCGAAACTGTGGCGAGAGGACAAGACAGGAAGAGAAGTGATCATCATGGGTCGAGAAGCACTGGGTGAAGTGATGAGTGAGAATGGAGAAGTGTTTTCAGATTTGTGTGCATTCTACGATTTGGTGATTGGAGGCGATGCAGTGTGTAGAAATACAAGGATGTTGACAAGTCAGTGAGTGACATGGATTATATTTCACCGTTCACCATTCACCATACACCATTCACCAGATGGACACAGCAGGATAGACTACACCGAAAATCAGATGGACTTCATGTCAATGTGAAGAGAGTGGAGATGGAGACGCAGCCAACCTACTGGACACGAGGTCACATCAGATGTGATGTGATGAGATGAGATGAGATGGGATGAGATGAGATGAAGAAGGTGAGCAGATGTCGGTGGTTCACATCACTCACACCACTCACACCAGTGACACCAGTCACACCACTATCTAGTGGAAGGAACCCACCCACCCAACTTCGAAATCAAGTTGACAGCCTTCACAGGAGTTGGTGATGATAGATGGACCAGAGTTGAAGTTGAACAGTGAGAAGAGAAGGTGAAGTGAATGAGGAGACTACAGAGTACATCTTCACGTTATCAGTCATGAGAAGAGAGTGTGAGAGATTGAGCAACATGGTTGAAGGATGTGTTTTGGAAGAAGACTTGAACTGTTTGAAGGGTGTATTGAGATAAACCTGTATAACGGTATTAGGAAAGAGGAATAGGCGAGATGAGAGAAGGAATGGATGTGGATGGATAAATGTGAGGTGATAGAGGAGTGAGAGGAAGATGATGATGATGATGTTGATGATGATGAAGCAGAAGATGAATCAGTGAGTGCATTGTGTTGTATTGCAGTGGAGTGCAGTGCAGTGCAAGGATGCACAGCGAAAGAAGGAAGTGAATACAACGTATAAAACACTACAGTGGACAAAGAAGTGAAGAAGAGTGTGTGCAAAACAAAATACACTTCTAGGACACATTGTCAGGTGAGGAGAACAGGTTTGTGGTAGGAGAGACAGGGACGTGACAACATTATATCAAATAACCAGTTTCCTTGTTATCTGGTAGGGAAGAGATCAACGGAGATGAGGGGAATGAAAGATGATGAGGGGAAGGTAGTTAATATTGAAGAGGAGAAAGGAGGTATAATGAAACAATGTTCTGACTACTTCAAAATGCTCTTGAGTCGACCACCACCACCACGATCACTACATGCTTTTTGTCTAGAAATACTACTTGCAGCCCAGCCATAGAACTACAAGCGAAAACAAGCCCTCCGACAAGGGCTGAAGTGAAGTCCTGAACGCCTTAAGGCTTTTGAAATTCGGGATAGCTGCAGGACCAGATGGAATCCTGCCAGAGGCACTGAGAGTGAACGCAGAGACAACAGCGGGCATGCTAACACCGCTATTGCAGAAGGTCTGGAAGGAAGGAAGGACAAGTACCTGCTCAGCGATTGGAGGAAGGACTATCTTGTCAAACTCGCAAAGAAGGGAGATCTAAGTCTTTATAAGAACTGGCGCGGAATCATGCTACTGTCAACCTCAAGCAAAATATTAAGCCGCATCATTCTGGAGAGAGTTAAAGATACAGTGGATCCCAAACCACGACCAGAACAGGCTGGCTGGCTTCAGGAGGAACAAATCTTGTGTGGATGAAATTGCAAGGCAACGCTTCGCATCATGATAGAGCAGAGTATAGAATGGCAGTCAACTCAGCTCTACCTTAACTTCATCGACTTTGAGAAGGCCTTTGACAGCGTCTACCGAGAGGTAATTTGGTATTTGTTTCAACACTATGGAATACCAAAAACCTTTATCAACCTCACTCAGCAGCTATACGCTATACGATGCTACACGCCAAGTGATTCACAATGGGAAGCTACTCAGTGATGCCTTCGAAATGAAGACAGGAGTAAGACAAGGCTGCCACACACTATAACCAATCATCTTCCTGATTGTGGTCAATTGGATCATGCAAAAAACTGTGAGGATAGAGAAGATGGGGATACGCACGCTGTTTGACCGATGAAAAGACCATAGAATATTTGGATTTCGACAATAATGATGACTCATGTCTAATGTCGCATCTACAAGGAAAATCCAACAAGTTGACAGAAGAGACAGGGCAGCGAAGACGTGACTTCGAGTGAACGTAGAGAAGACGGAGGTGATGGTGACACCCAACCAGCAACAGCATCAACAAGAGGCACCAATCACCATCAACGGGAGAAATCTAAAGGAAGTAGTCTCTCTCACCTACCTAGGCAGGCAGCATCGTTTCAACTACAGGCGGTGGTGACACAGACGAGGGTGTCAAAGCCAGGATTGAGAAGACAGCAATATAGGTTTTCCTTCATTAATCTGAAATCAGTATGGAGATCTACTGCACTCAGTCTAAAGCGTGAACAAGATCCGGATAATCAACGCTAATGTCAGTCAAGTTAGTCAGTGCTTCTATGTGATGGTTGAGATACTTGGCGACGCATTACGAAAGGCATTTCCAACAAACTACAGACCCTCATCAGCTACTGCCTACGCTGGCTCGTTACTGAAGATCAGATGACCAGAAAAAATAAGCAACAAGGAACTCTGGGAACGAACCAACCAAGAACCTATCGCTCAACATGTATGCAGA